CCGGTTAATTTCCGAATAGACCATACAATTTTACTCATGTTTATAAAACTTTGTATAACCTAGCACCACCGTGTCTTTCTGATTTGATAACTACTAAGGCCCAAACCCGATTGCTTAGATCAAATTTTGACTGCCATCTATTGCAAACACCCCGATCCCGTTTCAAATGCAGGGGCCATAGAGGCTTTGCAGTTGTGGATCCGAAACTATGGAATAAGTCACCATTCAAAATCAGAATAGCACCCACTCTATCTGTTTTAAAATCAGTGTTAAAGACTCTTTTTCCCGAGTGCATTTAATACCCCCCTAATTGTGGTTCCAGGCTATATGATTCTTTCTTGGAAACTTTTACTGTTGTTACTATTGTTTTATATTGCTGTTTTTATGGTAATGTATTACTGTTTTACCTGCTACTGCTTTTATACAGGACCTTGGTCGACCAAAGGTTGTAATTGAACGTGCTCTAAAAATAAACTTTGATTTGATTTGATTTACTCAGTACTGAATTAATCTGAATAATTAATTTCAGTGCCAAACATCACATTTGTATTTACAAAATTCATATATTTTCATAACTAATATTTACAACAAAAAAAAAGCGTTATTTTCTTGGCTCATGGGCTCATATTTACGGAAGCGTAGAGCTGCCACCCAGGTAAAAAAAAATCTGAGCTTTATCACGTTTGTACAATATACTTTTCACGTTCTTACAATATAATATCACGTTTGTACAATATAATTATCACATTCTTACAATATAGTATCACGTTTGTACAATATAATTATTACGTTTTTACAATATAATATCATGTTTGTACAATATAATATCACATTCTTACAATATAATATCACGTTCTTACAATATAATTTCATGTTTGTACAATATAATATCACATTCTTACAATATAATATCATGTTTGTACAATATAATATCACATTCTTACAATATAATATCACGTTCTTACAATATAATATCACGTTTGTACAATATAATTATTACGTTCTTACAATATAATATCATGTTTGTACAATATAATTATTACGTTCTTACAATATAATATCACGTTTGTACAATATAATTATCACGTTCTTACAATATAATATCACGTTTGTACAATATAATTATCACGTTCTTACAATATAATATCACGTTTGTAAAATATACTTTTCACGTTCTTACAATATAATATCACGTTTGTACAATATAATTATCACGTTCTTACAATATAATATCATGTTTGTACAATATAATTATCACGTTCTTACAATATAATATCACGTTTGTACAATATAATTATCACGTTCTTACAATATAATATCACGTTTGTACAATATAATTATCACGTTCTTACAATATAATATCACGTTTGTACAATATAATTTTCACGTTCTTACAATATAATATCACGTTCTTACAATATAATATCACGTTCTTACAATATAATATCACGTTCTTACAATATAATATCACGTTTGTAAAATATACTTTTCACGTTCTTACAATATAATATCACGTTTGTAAAATATACTTTTCACGTTCTTACAATATAATATCACATTCTTACAATATAATATCATGTTTGTACAATATAATTATCACATTATTTGCCGCCATACGTGCGCACAGATGATGATGTGCGCGCGCGTGAAGATCCCCTGTGCGCTCGCGAGCTGTAGTTTTCTCGCGTGTAGACCTGTAATCTGCTCACGGTTCACTTCTAAACGTGCGCAAACATCACCGCTGCGCTCGATTAATATTGGCATTGATTTGCCACCATACCACGTCGACTCCTACGACAAACTGAAGCCCTTTGGAATCTGTATAAATGGAGCCATTGATGGGTTTTCGAGAGCTGTGATTTGGCTTCATGCCTTTTCAACAAACAGTGATCCCAAAATCATTGCTGGTTATTTCATAGCAGAAGTTGAAAAGAGGCTTGGGACACCTTCCCGGATTCGCTGCGATCTGGGAACAGAAAATGTCACAATGGCAGACATGCAAAGGTTCTTGCGATAGAGTTTGGATCATAACGTCAATAACTGTTTTATTACTGGGTCTAGTAATCACAATCAGTAGCTGCAAAATTTCCCCATGTCTCAATCCAAGCATAAGATTGAACTTAATTAATTCTGTAAAACGAGACATTTTTTCACGCTCTGATCGCACCAGGTAAACGTAGCCTAAGCAATAAAATTTTCACATAATAACGTGACAATTATATTGTACAAACATGATATTGTATTGTAAGAACGTGACAATTATATTGTACAAACGTGATATTATATTGTAAGAACGTGATATTATATTGTAAGAATGTGATATTATATTGTAAGAACGTGATATTATATTGTAAGAACGTGATATTATATTGTAAGAACGTGATATTATATTGTAAGAACGTGATATTATATTGTAAGAACGTGATATTATATTGTAAGAACGTGATATTATATTGTACAAACGTGATATTATATTGTAAGAACGTGATAATTATATTGTACAAACGTGATATTATATTGTAAGAACGTGATAATTATATTGTACAAACATGCTATTATATTGTAAGAACGTGATAATTATATTGTACAAACATGATATTATATTGTAAGAACGTGATATTATATTGTAAGAACGTGATAATTAAATTGTACAAACGTGATATTATATTGTACAAACGTGATATTATATTGTACAAACGTGATATTATATTGTAAGAACGTGACAATTATATTGTACAAACGTGATATTATATTGTACAAACGTGATATTATATTGTAAGAATGTGATATTATATTGTAAGAACGTGATATTATATTGTAAGAACGTGATAATTATATTGTACAAACGTGATATTATATTGTAAGAACGTGATAATTATATTGTACAAACATGCTATTATATTGTAAGAACGTGATAATTATATTGTACAAACATGATATTATATTGTAAGAACGTGATAATTAAATTGTACAAACGTGATATTATATTGAACAAACGGGATATTATATTGTAAGAACGTGATAATTATATTGTACAAACGTGATATTATATTGTAAGAACGTGATAATTATATTGTACAAACGTGATATTATATTGTAAGAACGTGATAATTATATTGTACAAACGTAATATTATATTGTAAGAACGTGATATTATATTGTAAAAATGTGATATTATATTGTAAGAACGTGATAATTATATTGTACAAACGTGATATTATATTGTAAGAACGTGATATTATATTGTAAGAATGTGATATTATATTGTAAGAACGTAAAAAGTATATTGTACAAACGTGATATTATATTGTAAGAACGTGATATTATATTGTAAGAACGTGATATTATATTGTAAGAACGTGATAATTATATTGTACAAACGTGATATTATATTGTAAGAACGTGATATTATATTGTACAAACGTGATATTATATTGTAAGAACGTGATATTATATTGTAAGAACGTGATATTATATTGTAAGAATGTGATATTATATTGTACAAACGTGATATTATATTGTAAGAATGTGATATTATATTGTACAAACGTGATATTATATTGTAAGAACGTGATAATTATATTGTACAAACGTGATATTATATTGTAAGAACGTGATATTATATTGTAAGAATGTGATATTATATTGTACAAACGTGATATTATATTGTAAGAACGTGATATTATATTGTAAGAATGTGATAATTATATTGTACAAACGTGATATTATATTGTACAAACGTGATAATTATATTGTACAAACGTGATATTATATTGTAAGAACGTGATAATTATATTGTACAAACGTGATATTATA